TCCAGTTCCTTCCCAGTTGCATCTACAAATTTTAGCTTTGGTGCACTCGACTTCCTACCCTTCAGAACAACACTCTTCACTTTTCCTTCTCCGGAAACCTCAAAACTAACCTCACCACCTCCCCTCAATCTGTGTCCCTCAAGCTTGGAACCCCACCAAGCCTCAGGCACAGCGGGTGCTAACACTACTGTCTTCTCTCCACTCTGCCCATACCCGACATCTAGATCATGAACAAACATATGCAGAACTTGCCCTACAGTTCCAAAGTTGGCATCAATCTGAAATACCCAGGTTCCAATCGTAGAGGGGTCTTTGCTGTACACTGAGTACAAGTTGTTGGCAAAGTTCTCAACAATGGCAAAGCGCAGCTCATAATAAGACATGGTGGAATTGTTAAGACCAGCCCAGCAGGCGCCACGCCAGACCTTTTCCCAACCTGCGTTGGCGTCGGTCCATTTTCCGAGACCGCGGTGGATCAGGGTTGTTTCGACGGCTTTGGTGATCGTGGTATTTTCCCGGTGGACAGAGGAGATTGAATAGCCACTGGAGAGGAGTAAGTTAGTTCTGGGTGGGGGCAACGTCGGATAGAGAGACTTACGGGTACCAGCCATAGAGGTGAGAAAGATGGCGGTGGCCGTCTTCTGGGTTATCGATGTCGAGTTTCCATTCTAGGTTAGAGTTAATATATGTATTTCTAGGATATCATTGACAGCATAAGAGAGGGTTTCTCTACCTTGAATCTGCCCATACCGTCCGACTCTGACGCCCATGTATAACTTGCCCAGCGCATCCTCTACCCTCTTCTTAAATGCTAAATCTTTATCTCCTGATGCATCCCATCCTTTCAATACATTCATAAACACTTCCGAAATCTGTTGCTGATCAATCGCACACCCAAATGTCGACGGCGGCTGTTCCGGTGAATTGCACGGATTGACCACCAATGTCCCGTCATTATAATACTTATCTTCCAGCAGGGTCGATAAGTGGAACTGCGCAACACCCTTGATGAGAGGGTATCCAACACTCTTATACCAGTCCTTATCGCCCGTGAAATCGTAGTGGTCCCATACATGTTGCACTATTAACAGTCAGAACAATCATCTACCCTTCCGTAGCATGGAGAACATACTCATCCACGCGTTAGCAGCCGAATATGCAAACCAAAGCGCTGTACTCTGATCGCCATTTCCTTTCAATCTATCTCTCAATTAACCACAACTCGCAAATAAATATTTCCAGGGTTAAGGTGCAACTCACCCTGTATGCCCAAAGGTATTAATTTCATTATGAACCACCCAACCCTCAGTAGCCCCATAAAGCAAGCTTGCAGTCTCGGAACCTCTTGGCACCCATGTTTCTGCCATATATCTCCACAATCCGTCAAGAGTACCGCCTAGTCCAGTTGCTTCACTACCCCAGACATTCATTTGCAGGTTGATATTGGTATGATAATCGCCTGACCAAGCAGCTCCGAAGCCATTCGACCACTTTCCTTGCAAATTAGGAGGTAATGAGTTAGGCCTACTAGAACCGATGAGGAGGTATCGTCCGAAATCGAAAAGAAGTGATTCAAGGTATGGATCTCCCTTATCAAGTGTGTAGGCTTTCATGAGCTCATCTGTAGCTTTTGAGGCAGAACCTAGAGGGTCTGGTAGTGTCAGAGAGAAGGCGCGGTAGAGTGCCTGGTGGTCCTTTATATGCTCTGCCAGCAACGCGTTATAACTCTTCGACGCAGCAGCAGAGACAGTACCCGCCACCTTTTTGGCAGGGTCAATGCCCTGGAATGTGTAACCATCAGAGGGGTTCCCCTTAGTTTCATCGTAGTTCGTGTCCATTGAGAGAACAATCCATAGCTCTTTTACACCAGCAGTAGCAGGGACTGAGAGCCCGGTAGTCGTGGTGAAGTCTTCGCCTTTCTGCGCGGTGCCAGGGAATACAATAGCGGCGCGGGCGTCATAGAGCATACCATCAGGAGATTCAGCGAGGCCACGGAGTGTAATGGTGTTCGAAGCAGTGGTTATTGTGGGTGCTGGAGATCGACTGGAACCGAGGGATACTGTAACGGTGGGGAGGGGTTTAGTGGACTCAAGGTGGTAGATACAGGCTTGCGCAGGGAAGGAGCAGAAGTAATCCCTACACAATATAAGTTGGAGCAGAATGGAGCGGAAAGGAGTGACTTACCTTGTGATCTTGCCATACTTCTCAGTAACAAAAGAACTTCCACCCACTCCACGGTCAATATCAAGCCAGAGTTTGTAAGAACTGGCAGAGGCGGCGTCCAGGTCAAGGCCAACAGAAAGATTCCCGAGCATACTATAGCTTCCATAACCTGCGTCGCTACCTAGGATACCAGCAATACCTACAAATTTATGTCAGTAGATTCACTAGTAATATCGGGACGCTTGACATGGTAGACATACTCCCAGTGCCGTTCTTAAAGATAAAGTCTTGTATTTCACGGAGTGCCGGTACTCGTGATTCTGCAGGATTACCACCGGTGTAGTTCTGTTGTATTATCTTGTTAGTATTGGACTCGGATAAATCAATGATACTATATACCTTTAGCTGGAAAGGGCCACCAGTCCAGAGACTATCAGAATTAAGGGCCCAGGAGTCGTTATTGATACCGCCAAAGAAAGAGGCTATATCAAATTGGAGGATTTAGTGATGATTTCTTGACAATGTATTGTATTCAAAACTCACCGGCATGTTTCCCGTTACCAATCGGTAACGCTTGAGAAGCCCAATCCCATGCAGGCTGGTTAAACCATAGTTCTCGAGCTGCGGATACAGTGCCGAGTGAAGTGGCGAGAAAGAGGAGATGCGTGAACATCTTAAAAGTGTACCGTCTCTTCTTCAACTCGAGTTATAGTTAAATAACCCCTATCTAGTTATGAGGATTCTGAGATAGAATTCAAGATATTCGTCATTTAGTTTTACGGGAGCGGAGCTTAAATATGGCTTGTAGATCACCCCCACCAATTTAATTGCCGGGTTTTTAGATTCAGGCACTCCCGGGTACATCTATCATCAGGCATTTACTGCCACAGAAAGGCACGTTAGACCATTGGCGGCTATATATTAAACGGTTTTAATCTTTGTCGGAGTAGAAGGTGGACCATTCCGACGCACAAGATATAACGGATAGTAAATGCGGGGAAAGTATGGCTAGTATTTTTCTCATAAAACCCGGGAACTCGGTGTGGTTAACAATGTAGAGCGATTCGGCTGCATGGTTCGAGAGGCAAATCCGGGGAATAGAGTATTGCCTGAAGTTTGCAGGCAAGGATCGTCAACCCCACTGCCTAAATCGGTGCCTTCGGAATTAAAGGTCCCGATAGCGTAGTTAGATACGCGAATATCCTTTTCTCCATGTTTTCTATTTTATGGTGTACGCTGTGAACCGGGGATGAAAATGGGTGTTCCCGAGTATTATGTATGTGGTGGTTGTGCTTGATCTTTGGTTCGTGATCTTCCCCTGACTTCTTAAATTTGTAACCGGTTTACAGCAAATCTTGGCGTGAGACAGTTACACCAATAATTCTTCCGTGTAGTAGAGGTAATTTAGAGAAAAAAGACGGATGACAAGTTGGTCGGAAGGGCGATCGATGTGCCTGACCTGGTCTAGAGTACGGTATCGGGATACGTGGTGTCATATATGTATACGGGTTTCTACCATATGTGTTCTGATATGTATATTGTGTTGTTTCTTATTTCATGTGTTAGTAGTCACGTTGGGAATGGAATCATAATTTGACTAGGGTTTGGTCCGCCTATAATCGCGACATGATGCCGCTACTAGGCTTTTTTTTCTTTTTTCTTTTTTTGTTTAATTCATTAATTGTATGCAGACCGTAGTCTATGACAATATCACACTACCCCAGAACTTCCCAATCGCTTCCTCCACCTCTCACAAATTAAGGAAATCAAAGAAATAGTCGCAAAATCAGTAGGCCAGTAGCCTGTAATAAAGGAAAATCAACGTAACTTATGAGAGTAAGAAATAGTAGGCTCCATATCAGATCAGTAGAATCTCTCCACCCAACGTATACGATACATCCATATATCTAACGGTTACAATAGCTCTAGCTCTTAAAACCTAAAACATCCTAGAGTATACCTTTGGAAAACCATGTACTGGACGATGTAATGTATTCTTACTATAGTTAGAGCACATATATGCATGAATATATCGAGTGACTGCATGTGATTGACATGGCTTTGCTTTTTTGTTTTTTTTCTTTAATTCATTGATTGACATGGCATATATAGGATGACTTTTCCACATGAGACTAGTACCTCTTGTGATGCGTGGGTGTAAAGATCCCTTAAAATTGTATTTTCTTTTGTCTTTTTAAGTCAGATTTACCAATTCAGACGTCCCAGCTGGCGACTAGCCCAAAAGCAACACTACAGTGACAGAAACATGGATAAAATGACTACCACAGTCTTTGGCAATGCCGTACCACTGCGGTAACACTACCGTTTACTTCGTCAAAATACGGAGATAAAGCGGCATATTCTCGCAATGCCGTACTGATGCGGTATCAGTTTTACCCACATTTCTGATACTGTATCAGCTAAGGGTTTAAAGAGGTGGGGAGGAACTGCATATTTATAACAAGGATGACCTGTGCTAAGGTTTGTTGAACTTGTAACTTTGGCTGCTATCAGATCGGGATAGGCCAGTACTAACTTCCTGCTTGACACTTTGTCGGGTAATCAAGTCAAAAAAAAATCAAGGCTTTCACAGTTGACCTTAATTCTCATTCAGCGGTTTCCAATTCCCAGATATGGTAAAGGTGATCGTAAATTCTACACAGGTCAATCGATCAGATAACGTATTTCACCTAGAAGCCGACCTTCACCGGGTAACCGATCAGTGAAGTGAGTCCTGTGTAACCTCTGTATCCTCCTGAGTTGAAGAGTTTTTCTATTCGTTGTAGGCCAGTTTTGATTACTATTCAGTCCGGAATACAGCCAAACCAATCATTGAGATGGGGAGAAGCCGTGAAAAGGAAAAGGAGAACTTCAACAAGAGGGTGGAGGATGCGAGGAGAGACCTTGATAGTGGGCGCATTAAGACAATTAGGGAGGCAGCGGACGTGCATGGAATAGCCTACACTACCCTTCAAAACAGATTAGCTGGTTCTAGAACGCGTCAAGATGCTCATACGGACCAGCAAAACCTTACTCCTATCGAGGAAACAGCTATCAAAAAATGGATCCTGAAATTAGATGATTGGGGTTTTCCGCCCCGACACCAATATGTGAAGGATATGGCTTTAGATTTCCTCAGAAGTCATGGAATTCGAAAACCCAAGCTAGGCAAGAACTGGTTAACACGGTTTCTCGCTCGTCATCCTGATTTAGCTTCTAAATTTTCAACCCGTCTGGACAAACAACGCTCGTATGCCAGTAATCCCGCGGTTTTGAAAGATTTTTTTACACAGGTATGGGAGTTCCAATGTTGTGTCACACTACGCTAACAAATTGTATAGCTTCGGCGCGTAGTTGTGACACATAATATACTTCCTGACGATACCTACAATATGGACGAAAAAGGGTTTTTAATGGGGAGGTCTGCTCGCGTAAAAGTGATCTGTAGGAGGGGCAAAAAAAGAAACTTCAAAACTCAGGATGGAGCTCGGGAGCTAATCACAGTTATCGAAACTGTTTCAGCTGGGGGTTTCGCACTTCCGCTATTTATAATATATAAAGGAGAAGCACAGTATCAAGGCTGGCACGGTTTGGTAAACGCAGACGAAAAGGCATATTTTAGTTATTCAAAGAAAGGGTGGACCAATAATATTATTGGTTTAGAGTATTTGACACAAAACTTTGGTCCTAACTCAGCTCAACGGTAACAATCCATTTATTACTCTCCTCATTCACGTGTGTTAAATTACTAATTTTTTATAACAGAGCGAATGGTCGTACGCGGTTATTGATACTTGATGGACATGTTTCGCACTGCACTTGGGAATTCTTTTCCTATTGTCTTGACAACGATATTATACCCCTCTGTCTTCCCGCACACTCCACACACATACTACAGCCTTTAGATGTTGGACTATTTGGTCCTCTACAACGTCATTATACAAATGCTTTAGACGACTGGACACAAAACGGAAATACTGGAATTCATAAGGGGACATTCTTCCCGTGAGCTGAAATTCTCCTTTTTATCTATTAATTTTCACTAATATCCGATATATAGATTATTGATGCAGGCCCGTACCTTTACACATACACCCAAAAACATCCTCAACGCGTTCAAAGCTACTGGAATATATCCCCTCAATCCCCGCCAGGTACTTGAACCGTGCATTGAAAAGGTCAAGGCCCTAAACACCAAGAAAGAGCAAGCATTGGGTCCCCGTACACCCCGCCATGGAAAAGGCATTTCAATTCACACCAAGCGCACCATTGCTTTAGTAGGCAATGCAACACCTAGTAGAAAGCTGGCGCAAATTATGGTTGAGAAACTGGGCCTTGCCGCTGAAGAATCATCAGCAGAGGTAGTTGTCCTACGGCAGGAGTTAGCATATTTGAGGAAGAAAGAAAAAGCAAATTCCGACTCCTCAAGGGTACAAAGTAGAGCTGTTCTCTCCAAAGCCCTCGTAGTTACTACAGATGAGATTGTACGTCTGCGCAATCAATGGGAGGAAAAGCAAAAGCTCACCGCTGCGAGAGCTATAGCAAAAGAGTTGAAGGCAGCGGAGCGGACATCAAAGAGCGCCGAGACAGACTGCGCCGAGCCCGCAAATCTCGGCAGGAAACTCACCAAGGTTAGAGGCCGTCCAAAGAGACAGCTTCCAATTGAGGAACTGGCTGAACCTGTGACTCAAGACCCTGAAGGCTCAGAGTGCGAGTGGGAAGAGCTGGAAGCGGATAGGTGCACCCCTACAAATATCACAACCCAAAGTGGTAAGAAAAATGCCCGGAAAATGAAAATATATGTTGTAAATAATAGTAGTAATAGTCCAAAGCCGGGGGATTCTGTTAGGAGACTTAGATCTAGAAAATAAATTTTTATTATCGGGTAGGAGTATAATTGCTTTTTGATCGGTTGCTAGGTGAAGGTCGGCTTCTAGGTGAAATACGTTATGTGGATTCTTTTCTCCTGGAAACATACGTTTTGTTTTTCCGATAGCTCACGCCAGAAGAGTTTTAATGGACGATATTCATTTATTATACCAAAATTTTGATACTAGCATGTTAAACAAGAGTAGTCATAATCCCCTTACATCGAATCCCGTGTCCCGGATCCCCTAAACCCATATACTCCGCACGGGTGTGACCTATATATATTCGATCGAGCCTCACCCATTTTCGCGTCACCTATATTCTAAAAAATTTCCCTATTTGTTGTAAGACCTGAATAGTGTGCAGATAATACCTTTGAGCACCGACTTAGCCTACGGGTTAAATGAGAGTTTGAGACATTATTATTAATATTATTAATATTAATACTCTTGCTAACCCAAATCAATCCGAGTGAGATCTCATGTCTAGAAGTGACTTACGTGTGTACACCTAGACAACCACATATGGGAGATTGTAACAGACTACAAATATTTACCCAAGATCCGAAGAATTTGATTGACCCATAATAGGGGATAAGCTATATTTAAACTAGCGCAGGGAAAATAAATGAGTCTCGGGATCAACATTCACGTTCCTAGTTGGATGGAAGACCACCCATTGTTGTTTGATCTGCGCGCCTTCGCTGGCGAAGTTCTAACTTAACTTCTTGAACTAATGGGAGTGTAGATCTATCATTGAGGCTTTTAGAAATAGAATGAATTTCTCTATTGGGATATCGTGTCGAGTGATAATTCATGCTCCAAGAAACAACCTTACCTATGGTTATGATTCTGATACAATAACAAGATACATCCTACCCCATAGCCCAAATACAGAATTATAAGAATATTTAGGACTTACTTTTATTGAAATCATACAATCTTGCCGTGTCATTGACCTTAGTCTATGCATCTGTGGCTGGATCTATTTGTTCTAAGCACCCAAGTCTTCAACGTTATTACTATTATCACCAATCAGTTCTTTTGTTCGCTCCCATCACAATCATTGGTAGTGAAATAGAAGGGAGACGTTTGTTGGTTTTGTATTACTCGGGGTTGGTGGGAATCTGATTAGATTATCTCGATTATCTAGTAATGATTGTTGTGGAGTTATGATATCACTTCGACGGGACTTGCCGGTACTGTAAAATACTACTAACGTGGGGGTGTCCGATTCGGTAGTAGCCATATTAGCCATATCGCACTTAGATTGTGGGGTCAATCACGATCAATTATATGCACTTTCACACCGCCTTTGATGGGTCGATGATATTACATGTAGCCAGAATCATGGGACGTGAACCCTGTGTTTCTCCACACAATAGAGTCATTCTTTTTAGCAGAGCTCAACAAAACATGACTACAACCTCAAAGCCGGCGGCCACACATATAATGCCACATACACTCTGGATATTGAGTAATCTACGAATTCTACACATCACGGATATCATGACAATAGTTTTGAAAACCGCCCCCCTACCTTCCCATCACCTCCATCAACCGCTTGCATGACGTTGACGTGTAACCATACATGGAAACGTGGGTCGGAGAATTTAGCAGTAATCAAAGTGTCAAACGTGCATACCCGTACGATCATCTGCGGCACCAAACCTTAAATTGTTTATTTATCCATGGCCACGAGAAATCACTAATCGTCAATTCTCGGTGACGCCGAAAAGCAAAACGTAATGCGATGTAGATTATTCTTCCATCCCGATATTAATCATCTTTTGCCTTGTTGAAAGTGGGGCGCCAGGGAAGGGATAAAGAAAGGGGTGGTTTCATGGCGCAAGCTTGTTCCTCAAATGACACGGTCTATATATTCTTCTGTCCCATCCACATCTTCCAGACATTTTCCCTTATGCTTCGTTTTTTCTTTTTCTACTTATAACACTTCGCCCCAAATCCGAGACCAAACCAGCACCAAACCAGCAATTCGTAACTACCCTAATGATATTCAAACAAAATCTTTGCGTCAAACATATATATCTACAAAAAAAAAACCTATCGACCCCTATTCCTACCAACTCATGCCATTGCAACGCCTAAGACTAATAATACCGGTCCGTACCAAACCAAAAAGGAAAAAAACAAACCGAGAAAAAGACGACCAACGAAAAAGGAGTAGAGTAGAGAAGCCCGTTTTTTTTCTTCCAAACACAGCCCTGTATATAAAACGAAAGAGAAGTTTACCCCTAGGAAAAATGAAAAATAAAATATGTATCTTATCAGTAACCGCCACGTTCTTCCACCACCGCCTCATTAGCACCAGAATAATTGGGTCGAGTCAGATCAGTACACTGGCACAGTAGCGAGGGAGATTGCTGCTTCGACATCCGATTTTTTAAATCCAGGGAACCGTCCCAGGCACACACCACGTGGAATCAATTCTGCACGGAGAGCATTAGTGGATGTTTATAGACAATGTTTGGCGGTGTGAAACTTACGTTTAATAAACATGTCCAGGTCCACCTGCTTCTTCGCACCCTCGAGGACCTTGATGGATGCTTCGTTATCAATCGCATTGGCACCCGCAGGCGAAGAATGATTCCTCTCAAACTGTCTCACTTGATAGTTGATCTGATCCTCAGGGGTTCCCATCACCTGTGGCTGGAAATAGTCCAATGACATCACGGTAGCAGAAGTGAGACCGCCCTGCGTCTGGTTCGCGTTCGCCGTCCGAGCGGGAGGCGTCTGGGGGGGGCTTCTAGGCCTCAGGGTCTGAGGTGGTTGTGCCAAGCTCGGAGACGCCTGTCGGGAGTGTTCCGATTCGACCTCCATCTCCATCAAGTCGGCGCCGGCGTTGTTCACCAATGTATCGGCTGCCGCAGCAGTTGATGTTAGGATCCCCAGATTGGTGATGTATTGTTCTACCTCGTCTGGCCTAAGATATTTCTGGCGTATTCCGAGCTTGATGAGCATCTTGTTTGCTTCCTCGCGCATATTGAATTCTTCTCTATTCTTGGGCTCTTGTACTTGTCTGCCAGCTCGCTCCGCTTCGTAACTCTGCATTGATTCTGTGTAGTCCAGATGCTTTCTGGGAAGCGGTCGGATCTCGGGGTGTTCACTGAGGTCTAGACTGTCCTTGGGGCCAATTTGCAGTAGCTTTGTAATACATTCCAATGCGTCCTCCCTGGATGTATAGCAAAAGGTGTAAGCGAATAACCTGGCAACCTCATACTGGTCAGCATTGGGCGAAGTAAGCATCAGGTGTGCATATTCAAGTCCAGCACGGTGCAGGCGGCGGGAGAAGTTTGTCTCGTGGAAAGAGTAAGTGAATGACTCTAGCCCGGCTGGAATGTCCTGTTTGTATGGGGTATTTGATACTGGATCAAGCATTGCAGAAGATGTGGAAGAAGAGGGTTGTAAAAGACCACCCATATATGCACTTTCTGAAGAGCTAGGTGAGTACAGCCCATGCTCTCGATTGTGGGAACCCGACGAAAAGGAAGAACCTGTAGCCATAGTATTGCTTCTGCCGCTAGCTCCACTACCTGCTGCCTCTGCTCCTGCTCCTGCTCCCGCACTACGGTTTTGGCTGTTCCCATTGTTATCGTATGAACTTCTTGAGCCACGGCTGTTACCATTTTCTCTAGAATAACTGACTTGGTAACCCCCAAAGCTAGGCACAGAACCGCTTCCACCACCAGCCTGCATACCCCCACTCCCACCACCAGACCCAGGGCTCCCATCGTCTCTACTGCGCCGCCGTTTGGACCTAGCATTGCCATTGCCGTCATCCTCGTTTATACTCTCACCTTCTGCGTCCTCGTCGCCGGTCTCCGCACCCTCGGAGCTCCCGAGTGCTTCCTTGGCTAGTCCGAGGAACTTCTCAGTAAGTTGCTTGAGGTTGCTACCAAAGCCGGCATTGGAGACATCTGGGTTCTTGCTCAGACAGCTCATGGCCGAGTCGTGCAGCTCTAGAAAAGTAGTCTGCATCCCATCAATAGCAGTCTCTAGCTCGTTGACTCGATTCCGTAAAGATGATATCGTAGTCTCCTTGCGAAGACGGTAAGCTCGTTGAGCGAGCCTGATCTGAGTACGCCGACGCTACAATTCCCTTCTGTTAGAAACAAAAGCCGTGGGGAAAGTAAGAAGGGGAGGTATTAAATAGATACGTACATCTGCAGCATTCTCATCCTTCGTATCCAACCTTGGTCGACCTCTCTGCTTCCTATTACTGCTTCCGCCAGGACCACCTCTGGCAACCGGGGTAGGGTCATGACCGCTATCATCACTGCCAGCCCTCTTCCGCCCTCGTCCTACACCGGCTCCTCGTCCCTTTAGATCGTCCCCTCTGCGTCCACCCATCTGGTACTCGTGTTGGGAGGCCTGCATCCGTCGTATTCTCTCCCGCTCTTCTAAAATCTTTAGGTCCCCGTGCTCCTCCGCCGAGAGGATACTCAGGTCCATATCCATATTACCGCCCATGGTACCACCCATTGGTAGCGGTTCCATGCCCATGCCCATGACATCGCTCATGTTAAGATACGTCGTAGGGTCCAGGTACCCGCCACCAGAAGGTGCGGAGGCGGGGTGTGAAGAGTTTCTAGAGGGCGGCATAGAGTGTGGGTATGGAGCTGGGCTCGGATGCTGCTGTTGCTGCTGCTGTTGCTGCTGTTCGGTGGAGGTATTGATCCTATTCATGGGAAACGAGGAATGATATGGGGAGCTGGAGGCACTGTGGTGGGCCGAAGAGTGCTGTGGGGTGCCTGGTAAGCTGCTTTGTTGCTGCTGCTGTCGCGGCTGGTGCAGATATTGGGGGTGCACCGGAGTCGGATGAACTGAATTGCCGGCGGGGGACATCATACGGTCTTCCCGGGATATCGGAGCGAAGTTGGGGACGAAGGAATGGCGTAGTTCCGACTGTGTACTGTGTTGGTTTTCCATACGTAGTCCCGAAAAAGCTCGAGGGGTAAAAGTAGTAGAAGTAGCAGAAGGAG